AATGGAGTTTTCAATCACACCTGACATAAAGACACTCTGATGTCAATACGGCATTGATCTGCCTGGCCTTCAGTCATGCCTCACAGCTAGCACTGACTGAGTGCCCTCCATTAGGAACCCAGACTGGCGGCATGGCCATGCAACATAACTCATTATACAGACATAATTAAATTGGAGCAGAGAGAGCGAGAGAGAGAGAGAGAGAGAGAGAGAGAGAGAAGAGAGGAAAAGAGAAGCTTAGAGTACCATTTCTAATTCCCTTCTAATTCTCGGACGTGGTACTACCATCCATCCTATGCGCTTGATTACTAGGACTTTTTTTTTATTTGAGCGGGTAGACAGCAAGACACGACATAAAAACGTGCTTGAAAAACTTCTCTATCGGAAGAATCGCTGCAGGAAATGTTAGCAGCTTCAACACCGTCATGAAAACAGAATACAATTATTCCCTCGGCTGCCATTGCAGAGTACAGCCAGCAGCTTATGTCCTGTCCACTGGGTGGACGTAGCTGGCTGTCAGAAGGGTTAGCTAACACTGCACCTTGCATATAAAGCAGGACATGGGCCCATATTCCCTTGGGGAGTTCACTTCCTCCAAGCCCCCCACACCACCACCACAGAGCCAGCCGCAGCTCCACCTTATTCTTAAAACAAGCAGTCCCTTCTGCTGGAAGCCAGATATCTTGAGCAGCCGCAGGGGTATCTCAGGGGTGGGGGTGGTTGTAAAAAGTAATGCAGCAAAGTTTTGAGTTTCTGTGCAGCCAAATATTTGTGTGCAATGATGTATTATAAAACACAACTAATGATGGGCAATTGTTCTGTACTATTACATTATTGTGCAGCTGCAGAAAATGACAGTATGTAGGAATGTACAGGAAGTCACTGTTGCAACACAGAGGGCGGCATTTACAGCATAATCATGGTTTCTAGTCTTTCTTGTTGCTCTTGTTGAATTCTTTAACGCGCACAGAGAAAATGTCCAAATGTGTACAAACAGGTCGTTATGAACTCCAATGCCCTGAGAGGCGCAGCGTCGCTACTTCACTACAATAACACACTAGGCTGAATACAAGACCCAAAAATACCGACCTAACTTTATGAAAATGCATCTGAAAGCTATAGGACTTTGTGAGTTTCTGTTTAAAGTTTCTTATATTGTTTTTCTAGGGCTTTTTATTAGCATTGTTGATGTCAATAGTAAATCCCTATTGCATTGTTTTTCCCCCATATTGTTTTTGTTTAGCATTGTTTTGCCATTTTGACTTTTAGCAATTGGTTAATTTGTTTTTCAATGTTTAACTTTTCTTTTACTGAATTGTATCGAACATCATCATCATCATAAACATCATCCTTAAATCCAATCATCCACCTCATGAAGAAATACATTCAACACTACCACTGATTAACAAAATTGAGGTTTACTACTACTCATATAGGCACCAGAGAAAATAAATTCTGATGTGAACTCCCAGCATTCCCTTTCTACTGACTGCGTAGACATCTCATCATCTTGAGGGTTAATTATAAAGTTAGCAACACACTAAATCTGCCGCCGCAATCCTTATCTAAACATCCTGATGTGGAAAGCCACTGATTATGTGTGCCACCCACATGTGTACCAGCCAGAATCCTTAAAGACTTGCAGACAAGGGCCTGGCAAGAGCGAGTCAGAGAAGTGTTCCACACCCACGGCATATAAATCCATTTGAACAATTCAATAGCTAACTTCATTTGCCGCTTCTTGCCACTTACAATCGCTGCTCTGGTTCACATCCTCCAAGATAAGAGCAGAAAGTGAGCTCATGCTTCTTCCGCAAATACAGGCCCGCTGTAAAATCAGGAAAAAAAAAGAAAAAAAAAGCTGTTTTCCTATTTTCAAATGGCCTGTGGTTCAAATGGGTGTCTGCTCAGGGGGGAGGACCTCATAAGAGAGTCTGCAAGAAGGGAAGTGCAGCATTATCACTTCCTGTGTCTGTCTGTATTCAAGACCGCCACTAGGACTTTTGCAACTACCTCATTAGTATTCACACAGACTTTCAGCTCCAGTGAGCAGATGATGGCATTTTTCTCTGGTGCTCAAAGGTAAATCGCCGTCTTAACACTTTGCTCCAATATCCTCTCAGAACTTTTCAAAGTGCCTGGGCTGTGCAAAAAAAAAGTGCTGACAACAGGGAGCTGTGTAGCGGGAAGTTTAGCAATTTTCCTTAACTCCTTCCCAGCATGTATTCCTTCATTAGCGTTTCTTGAAACAGGGTACTTGAGGAATGAAAAGGAGGAGACGAATTAAAAAGCAGGGGAGAAGCTCAAAATGAGCCTCAGGCTTAACACTTGGGTGCCCCGTCGGCACTTGTAAAAATAGAAGAGGCCCCCTGAAAATGGGGGTCCTCGAGGTGTGCCCACTCGAGTCTGAAAGAAAGTGTGTGCCAAGAGTAGGTATTCACCATGCATGGCAGGACTTTGGCACTCTTCGGGACTTTAAGAGTCCCTCTCTGATTTCTCTTTCTACTGCACATTCCCTGAACGATGCCTCAGTGTGGAGCAGAAGGGAACTTCTTAAAAACAATTTAGCTGGTGCAAGTCTTCTTCCCCCAAACGTCCACTCTGGTTTCAATCAGACTGCAGGAAAGATGAGATGAGGAGTGTGTGTGTGTCAGAGGTGGGTGGTTGGCCTGAGTTAGGTGGATGTTTTGAAGGGAAAATGGGGGAAGGGGAGTCCCGATGTTTGCTGAATGCTTCCCTTTGTTGGGATCATATTATGTTTCCACCACAATACTTCTAAACCCTGCTTCATCAACTCCATTCATGTGTAACAGTTCATGCAAATGGCCACACTAGCCTTTCCCCCTCCCAAAGGTAGGGTTGGGGGTGAAATTCTTTTTATCAGACTACCACCCAAATACTGTCTGCAGACTCCTGACTGAACATCCAAAATAGGTCTTAATCCCTTCCTTCTTCTTTACAGTCAGACTGTGCGAGAAGCAAAAAGGAGAAGGTGCTGCAAACCAGATTAAACAGTGCAGAGCTTGTTGCAGACACTCATGTTTTAATTATACATGGACATAAAGAGAATGGCCTTCCATAGAGTACATACAAGAAATGGACTTAGCCACCCATAGCTTCAATGAAGAGAAGCAGAGCTCTACTGGACTCAAAAGCAACTCCACATAGTCTATAGAAATGCTAGGCTACTGTTCATTTAGTTTAAAAAGCCAGGGTTTATAGGTTTATTTTAGGAGCAAACCAGATCAGGTGAGAAGCAGCTTTTTTTCCACAAAGATGTTTCTATACCAAAGTCTTCTGAAACCAGCAGCCAACTATTTTGCAACCAAAACTCGCAACATTCAAATTCATTTCTTTGATAAATTTTGTTTTGTTTTTACTTCCTAATCACCAAAAAAGCCATAAAAATAACCCAACAAAACAAAAGCCTTAAACACAGACAGCAACACTGGTGAAACAGGAACAAAGACAAAATTCACATACTGTCCCTTTACTTTGGAACACACCCATATACATGCATGCATACAATACAACAGCAACTTTTCAGTTAAAAATAAATTGGATGAGTGCAACTGCTGACCAAGTACATCACATCCCAGAGGAACACACACATAAACACACACACTCACAGACACAAACAGACACCCACACACGTACGCTTACAGAAATTAATCGAGACATTTGCTAATTTTACTGCTGCTGTACATGCACAACTGCAGCCGAAAAATAAAAGTCCTAAAGACGTCTGGCTTGCAAAGAAAAAAAAATTCTGATTGTGGGTGTATTTGTGTGAGAGTGTGTGTGTGTGTGTTTAACTAGTTGAAAGTAAGCAGGAAAACTTGTTTCCACACTTGCACTGAGGTGGTGTTTGGTCTGCATACTCCTCCCTGATGATGTTTACCATTTCCCATTGAGCCATTTGTTGGTAAATGAAAGTGTATTTACAGTGCAGAGCCATTACAGTCAGCCTGAGAGGTGTTTCACAGGCAAATAATGACTTTATTACCACCAGAGGCGTTTTGTTGTCACTCCTGGATGAGGCCCAATTAGCAACAATATGGCAATGATGACCAGATAATACAGATAGTGGTTTCCCCACAGGAAGAAGGCGACGCTCTGGCCCAGACAGACGCATGACATACAGTATGACACATCCGCATGATGACACAAGTCCTGGTCTTGTTTACAGAGTGTGCAGACAGAATATTCCTTTCATTTATCAGTCATCTCTACAGACAGCAATCTCAGCCATCGGCTGGGATTTCCACAGACCACGGACTAAAGCGTATCTGCACCAGAGACATACATTTCTCGTGAAATGCAGAGAAACTGATTTTAAGGAGCGTAAGTTTTCATCTAGTGGGGGCAGTCGAGGGGGGGCACACTGTGATCAAGCTGCTGCTGTTGGTGGAGTTGGATAAAACGTTATCTCAATGAGTCTTACTGGAAAAAAGTCTGGGGGGGGGGCGACAAGACGTTTCATTCCAAATTTAATAATGAAAATACCCACTCGACTTAGACTATCAATTTTGCAAGTATATGTATTTTCTTAATTAGTTGTTACTTGATGGAAAATTGTTTTGTTTGATTTTGAGTGTTCTTTATTATTCACACTTTCTACACTGCTTAATCATGTAAAATATTTTTAGAGACAGTTTGTCTTTGTCAAGCTGATGAGACATTTTTGCATATAGATCAAATTTTGAAAAGTGTGCATGTACTAAAAACGTGTCCCTTTAAGAGTAGACAATAATTAGATATATTATATAGTTTGTATTTAACCAACTACAGCAGGTGACAAACGGGAGGGTTGATTTGGTCAAACAAAAAAAACTTTGAACAACACACTCAGATCAGTGTTGTTGACAGCTGAAGGAAACAAACATTCAAAACCAAGCCAAACTAACCTTAAAAGTAAATGACCACCCATGCACGTTAATTAGAGCAAACCGGTGCTGTGTGTATTTGCGGTGTTGTAGAAGTCTTAAAGAGCAACTCACCTTAGACGAAGCTTTCCTTTTGTACTTGTTGGCGAAGTCGAATTTCTCCTTGATCTCGTCCAGGAGTTGCTCCAGACGCACCTTCTCCTCTTTGCCCGTGTAATCCTGGCTCAGGAGAACGTACGCCCTCCAGTTCGCTGAGTCGAAGCCCCAGTGGCAAGTTCTGTTCTCCTGCGCCTTGTGAGTGTGCACCACAAACTTGTGGGTCGGGTACATAAGTCTGCAGTCCATGCACTGGATGCAAGCTGCGTTGGGGCTGGTGTAGAGCTCCGGCACGAACAAGCCCTTGCACTTGCCGAAACACTCGTGGTAGACTTTGAAGCTTCTCTCGGTGATCTCCAGCTCCAGCGAGCCTCCGCTGCTCAGCTCCTTCTTGCAGCGCGGCGGGTAGGCGCCTCCGTAGATCAGGGCGTTGCAGAGCCGCTCGGCGTCCGTCTTGGTGATGAGGCCGCAGGAAGGGGCAGAGAAGGGCAGGATCCCCATGACTTTGAGGATCTCCAGCTGGTCCGCCGTGCACCGGGAGCAGTAGATGTGCAGCTCGTCGCACACGGAGTTGATCTGCTGCAGGCTGAAGTCCCGCAGCACCGTGTTGAGGATTTGCGGCAGACACAGGCGCTTTTCGCCGCCAACCACGAAGCAGGAGATGGTCTCTCCCTCCAGCACCGTCTCGCACCTCTCCGTGGAGCGGTCAGACGGGATGAAAAGCGGGCCAGGCATTACCGGCGGCGGCAGATGCTGCAGCACCGGCTCGGGTTCTTTACCGTCCTTCTTGAAGAGGAGCTCATGTTGCCACCGGGCTGAGAAAGCCGCCGGTCCTCCCAGGGAGCTCATGGAGCTGAGGTGAAACTGCTTGAGAGTTTGTTGCAGTCCCGGATGAGGCTGGAAGCTCTGACGACTTACTGTCTCCATGTTTTTCCTGCAGCAACTTTGCAAACGCGAACTCTTCCCTGCGACGTCGAATCACGAAAACCAATCCGTCCCGGTGTCTGGTAAATCCACAGTGTCCCGGTAAAATTCAGGAAAAGGTCGAAACGCTTCATCAAACATCCAGTTTTTTCTTTCTTTAAATAAGTCCCACACGAGGCGAGTTGATGGCTACAGCAGCAGTGAACGGCGGCCAGTCGCTTCCCTCAAAGACTCGCCGACTGTCCATATCTGAAGAAAAAGACCAAGACTCGTCTCCAAACTTTGAGAAAGTTCCGTGTGAGTGTTCCGACTTCCCAAACACACGCTCACACAACGGGAAGAAGAAGGGCTCAACGGCGGGTCGACAGCGTCGTTCGGTGAGAATTCCGTGTTCTGAGGCGGTGAGTGTCCGCTGTCGAGGACTGCAGCGCTGTCTCCGTTCCGTCTGCCCCCGCAGTTCACTCTGACTGTATGGAGATGAGGAGTCTGAGAGGAGCTGAGAGCCCGGCCTCTCTCTCCTCCTCCTTCTCCCTCTCTACCTCTCTCACCCACTCCCTCTCTCTCTCTCTGTTTGTGTGTCTGGCTCAGTCATTGAATCCCGGCCAGGAATGTGAGTGACTCTGCAGGCAGGCAAGCAGGCAGGCTGGGCTCTTCCAGGAACAAGCCGTCACCCCCCCCAACTCAAACTCCTCGACGAACACAAACCCCCCCCTCCCCCGCCCCCCCATCCCCG